GCAGTGGGGAGGCAGAGAGTGGTGTGTGGGCTGGGTGTTTGGGTCTGTGTGTGTGTGTTATCGGAGAGGATCCGAGGAGAGGGGCCTGGATAGCTCTGATTCTACTCACCTAGGAGGTCCGAGACCCTCCCACTCCCAACCTCAGTGTTGTCACTGAATCTTTCTAGAGGTGATGGTGCCTGAGCTGGGGTCAAATGCATTCTTCTTACCGGCCTTGACCCCAGCGTGTCATGTAACCTTGTGATAGTCACTCAACCTCTTTGGCCTTGTGCTTCCATGTCTGTCAAATGAGAAATCACCTCCATCTACACCTTTGCCCCTCCCCACCGCCAACCCACTACTTGGGAGGCTGAGGCAGGAGAATTGCTTGAACCTGGGAGGTGGAGGTTGCAGTGAGCTGAGATCGCACCACTGCACTCCAGCCTGGGCGACAGAGTGAGACTCTGCCATATATATATATAAAATAACAAAAATTACTACAGAAAGTTGGACTTTCTTTTATTTATTTGTCTTTTTTTTTTGAGATGGAGTTTTGCTCTTGTTGCCCAGCCTCCTGGAGTACAATGGCATGAACTTGGCTCACCGCAACCTCTGCCTCCCAGGTTCAAGCAATTTTTCTGCTTCAGCCTCCCAGGTAGCTGGGATGACAGGCATGTGCCACTGTGTCCAGCTAATTTTTGTATTTTTAGTAGGGACGGGGTTTTGTCATGTTGGTCAGGCTGGTCTCAAACTCCTGACCTCAGGTGATCCATCCTCCTTGGCTTCCCAAAGTGCTGGGATTACAGGCATGAGCCACCGTGATCAACCTGGTTGGTCTTCCTGAAGCATGACTTTGAGCATGTCATTTCCCTGTTCAAAAACAACCTTGAGTGTGGAAGGATTAAAAAAAAAAAACCTTGAGGCCAGGCACATTGGCTCACTCCTGTAATCCCAGCCTTTGGGAGGGCGAGGTAGGAGGATCGCTTGAGCCCAGGAGTTCTAGACCAGCCTGGGCAACATAGTGAGATACTGTTTTTACAAAAATAAAATTAACCAGGCATGGTATGCACACCTATAGTCCTAGCTACTTGAGAGGGTGAAACGGGAGAATTGCTTGAGCCTGGAAGATCGAGGCCACAGTGAGCCATGATCATGCCATTGCATTCCAGTCTGCACAGTAGAGTGAGATTCTATCTAAGAAAAATAATAAACAAATAATAAAATAAAATAAAGCTTGAAACTCCCATTACTTCCCCCCCTTGTGCAAATAGAATAAAGCCTATCGTGGGTGTGGAGATTTGAGGATGTGACCCCAACAACCTCCCCAGCTACCATGGGGAGCCCCTCACTGTTTCTGACTCCCCTGAGGCCCTCTTCCCCCAGCCCTCAGCCACCCCAGCACTGCCCGTCCCTCCTACCCAGGGGTGAATCTGAAGGGACCTCATTCTTCTTGAAAATGGCTTCTACCAATTGTGTCAACAGGGACAGAGACAACAGACATGACAAATGAATGAACAAATGAGTAACTGTGGGACTGAGCTGCCTTATGTGACAGAAATTAATTATTTCTGCAAATCAACAGGAAGTTGGGAAAAAATAAAAGAAAAAGAAAAAAAATTATTTCATTAAACAATATTTGTGGAACCCTTAAGGCTAACACTAACAGCTAACACAAGGAGCTCATTGTGTGCTGGGCACTGTGTTAAACTCTGCATATATTATCATTTAATCCTCATGACAATCCTAAGAAGTTAGTACTATCATGATCCCCCATTTTACAAATGAGGAAACTGAGGCTATAAGATGGGAACTCACTTGTCCAGAGCCAAACAGCTTTTAAATAGGGGAGCTGGGCTCTGGGGCAAAGCTGCCTGCCACTGTAGCCTGGGCTTCTGACTACCACACCTGTTGCCAGAGGCCAGAGGAATGTTACACGAGTGTTTAATATTTGAGTAATGTCGGCCGGGCGGGGTGGCTCATGCCTGTTATCCCAGCACTTTGGGAGGCCAAGGCGGGCAGACTGGCTGGGAACAGGGGTTCGAGACCAGCCTGGTCAACATGGTGAAACCCCGTCTCTACCAAAAATACAAGTTAGCTGGGTGTGGTGGCGGGCACCTGTAGTCCCAGCTACTCAGGAAGCTGAGGCAGAAGAATCATTTGAACCTGGGAGGTGGAAGTTGCAGTCAGCTGGGATCATGCCACTGCACTCCAGCTGGGCAACAAGAGAGAGACTACGCCTCAAAAAAATTTTTTTTCAAGTAATGTCAAAAGACCACCTCATGGGAACATGTATAACACCTCCCTAGTTACTTGGGAAGTTGAGGCAGGAGGATGCTTGAGCCCAGAATTTCAGACTGCAATAAGCCATAATCACGCCACTGCACTCCAGCCTGGGCAACAGAGTGAAACCCTGTCTAAAAAAAAAAAAAAAAAAAAAAAATGAGGTGGGGGACATATAAGCAATGTCAAGGTAATAGAGTCTGACATCTGAGAAACATGAGAGCACTGACAATGTCAGCATGTCTGAGGAATATAAGGATTTTGTATAATGGCGTACTTAACCAAATATCTATCAACCTGCTACATCCATGTCAGGCACTATTTTAACCCACAGGTATAGGGCAATGACACAACACCCCAAAACTCCTCCTCCTCTGTAGCTCACATCCTAGTGGGAGAGAGAGAGAACTAAACAACAACAACAGTAAAATGTCAAAGGTGACAAATGACAAAGGAGAAATAAAGCTTAATCAGAATAAGGGGACTGTCCAATGTGGTGGGTGGGAGTATGTGGGTGGCATTGCTCCTTTGTATAAGACCAGGAAGACCACCCGTGAGGCGATGTCTGAGCAGAGCAGTGAAGTTAGTGAGGGAGGGAGCCACGCAGTGCTTTGCAGAATTTCCAAACAAGACACAGCCCGTGCAAAGGCCCTCAGCATGCTCAGCCCAGTCTAAAGAACAGCCAAGAGGTCTGTGTGGCTGGAGCGCAGAGTGAATGGGAGAGAAGGATCAGGAGGGATTCACAAGCATGAAAGTGCTGAGGCTGATGAAAGGCTCTGCATAATGCCACATCTGAAATACGTTAATAGATACAATTGATGGAGTGCATTCCACACACCCGGCCCTGCACTCGGTCCAGCTCACACAAAAACTGCTATAGGATCTTAGAGTCAAAGAAACTTCACAGCGCCATATGATAGGCACTACATCAGGGTGCTAGGGAACTACAGAAGAGGAGCATCTAACCCCAACTAATGGGCAATGAGGTTTCCTGGAGGAGGTTGCATTCAACCTGTCAGGCAGGAAAAGGAAAACACTTCCAGGATGCAGATGCAGAGAAGGAGGGCAGGGCAGAGCCTGGACCAGCTGTGCAAAGCTTCAGCAGCAGTGCTGGGGGCCAGGGCGCAGCTTGCTGGAGGAAGAGCTCAGGCTTGCAGGGTCAAGAGAGCCTCTGGACACGGAGGCCCAGGCTTAAGTGTGTTTGTGCAAAATTGATCATTATGGAGTGGGGGACAAAGAGCAAAAAGGGGTAGGATAAAACTTTGATAATTAGGCTGGGCACGGTGGCTCATGCCTGTAATCCCAGCCCTTTAGGGGGCCGAGGCGGGCAGATCACTTGAGGTCAGGAGTTGGAGACCAGCCTGGCCAATATGGTGAAACCCCGCCTCTACTAAAAAAACAAAAATCAGCTGGGCGTGGTGGTGCACGCCTGTAAGCCCAGCTACTCAGGAGGCTAAGGCAGGAGAATCGCTTGTACCTGGAAGACGGAGATTGCAGTGAGCCAAGATTGTACCACTGCACTCCAGCCTGAGCAACAGAGCAAGACTCCATCTCAAAAAAAAAAAAAAAACTTTGATAATTTGTCTACCCACCCTGGGTCCTGCTTTCTCCAGGTCTTTCGGAGGTTCCCGGGCACTAAGAGGGGAAGAAAAAGTAAGTGGCCACCCCCACCTGCCCCAAGTCTTGGTTTCTCATCCCATCCTAGCAGGTTCAGATCCTTCTTTTAGGCAGATCTGTGGGTCCTTGCTCTGGGGCAGCCGAAGGCATTCTGCAAGGAGAGTCTTCAGTTAATAATACCTCACATACTTCCAGCACTTTGTGCTTTTACTGCAATAACCTGTGTGTCTGACAGTCAATCTAGGATGGACAGAGCTCTGTTCTAAGCCTCTTTTTCACAGGAGACCCTGCAGCTCAGAGAGGTTACGGGCCTTGCCAAGGCCACGCAGCGAGTGGGTGACTAAATTGGGACTTGATCTCAGCTCTGGAGATTGCAAACCCCATAGTGACACTGCAGCAGCTACAGAAAATGGGGCCTGGTGCTGGCTGGGTCCCAAGGACACATCTGGGGAAGCGGGGAGAACGAGCCCTGGCATGGGAGGAATGGAACGGGGGAAGATGGAGACAGAGTGATGGAAGCTAAGGGTGGAGGCAGGAAGAGAGCTCTGGCAGGGGTTGGAGAGGCTTTGAGACAGAGCTAGCTGTGTCTCCAGAAAGACCCCGTTAAACGTCCCAGCAGGGTTGAAAGAAACAAAAGAGGTGCCCACCCCATGTCTCTGTGAAACAAGGCAGGGAGAGACCTACTGTGTGCATTTCACAGGAAAAAGGAGCAAGGACAGGTGGCTACTGGCTTGCCCCAGGCCCACAGGGGCGCAGGCCTCCTAGATGCGCGCAGCACGTAACACTCCCAGACCTTCCCCTCTACCATGGATGATGAAATAGACGATGATAGGGGAGGTGGAGATGGAGACAGAAATCAGGGGCGCATCCAAAGAGGGAGGGGAAAAGGCAGAGGCGCAGCTGGAGCTGCAGAGAGGTGCAGAGACGTTGGAGAGACAGTGGAGAGAGGAGGCCCTGACGCCTGGCTCTGGTTTCACGAGGGCAGCGTCAGCTGATCCGTGTCACGGAGTTCCCGCGTCCCCCGCCCCCTCATCCCCCGCGGATCCATCCACTGGCGTTGCTCCGCAGCGCGCAACGCTCTCTCATCCAAAGGGAGGGCAAAGGGGGGAGGTGGGGAGGCGGAGGGGGGAGCGGCAGGAAGGGGGCGGTGCGCGGCCACCTCCCCCCAGGACTCGCGAATCCGCAGCCTCCTCCGCAGCATCTTCCCAGGCCCGGCCCCCTCCTCCCCCCGCGCCGATGGTACGCGCCGGCCCGCCTGGCCCGGCTGCAGTGGATGTTGCTAGAACCCACGCGGAGGAAGGAAGAGACGCAAGCAGGCTGCGGCTACCCAAGCGGCCGCCCCGGCCTCAGGGACCCCTTCCCCGAGAGACGGCACCATGACCCAGGGAAAGGTACCGGCATCTCCCCTGCCTACAGCATCCTCCATCCTCCGGCTCCCAGCTCCCTGTCTCCTCAGCAAGCCCTCTGGACCACGAAAGCATCCTCCCCTGGCCCTAGTTCGAAGGTCCTCCGTGGTCCTTGCTGAAGTCAGAGGACTGAAAGGCCCGTGTCAAGGAATGGACCGGGCCCTCTTCCCGCCCTCCCGTAGGCGCGCCTCTCCTCCCCTGTCTCCCTGCTACCCCATGCTTTGGCATCACAAGGCTCCTCACAGATGCCCAGGCCCCCCGTGAGGAGTCAGCCTGGGCGTCCGGTATGACTGTATGTGTGTGCGTGGGTATGTGTGTGCCAGGGTGAGCCCTGAGGGGTAGTGCCCATCGGGCAACCCTCCTGGCCCAACCCTCCAATCCCAAACCCAACCACTCTATATAAGCTCATCTTTCCCACCCTCCACAGAAACAACCCCACCCCACTCCCTGCCGTTAGCCCACATCTGGGTGTCTTGGCTCCATCCCTGTGCTTGGAGCTTGCTATGGCAACACTGCATCCGGATGCTCTAATTGTTGTTTTGGTTCTGGCCAGGCATGGATGGATCCGGAGGAAGCATCTCTTCTTCTCCAGTTTTGGGCCTGAATTGTAGGGGAGGGGCTGGGGCAGAGACTTGGCTGGCCTAGTAGGCTTATGTAATGTCAGTAGCCTGTGGAATTATACAACCACTAGGGCCTGGGGCTAAGGGGGAGGGTCCTCTGGCCCTCTGTTTGGGGTTGCTGAGGATTGGGCAGAGAAAACACTGGAAGGACCTCCCCTACACTCCCCCTACTTCTCTGAAAGGAGCTTCAGAGCCAATGGCATCCTTCCCTGGACCCTCAGACCCTCCTCTGCGGTGTGCGAGCTCTTTGGGCCTCAAATGATGTCATTGGGTGATACCACCTCCTGCCATTGGTCAGACCTCACTTGGGAGTGCCGTATTTGTGGGGGGACTGGGCATTAGGGTCCAGGAAGCTCTGGGGGCGCTGAGTGGCAGGCTGGGGGCTGAACTAGATTTTGGTGGGCATGATCCTTCAGATCTGGGTGATGAGGGGGGCTGGAGAGTGGGAGGGAATGGGAGGCCTGGGGAGTGTTCAGTTTCCAGCCCCCTTCCGCGGAGTCTCTCCTTCCACCCCCACCCCACCTCTACCAGGCACTTCATGGCGCTGCTCCCTTCCTGGCATGAGGGGGACCTCTGCCTCCTCTGCCCCTTGACCCAGCTCACTCACAGGCTTGTTGGGGGCTGGAGGAGACCCCCTCTAGCTCAGCGGTCCTTGGGTCTGGATGGAACCAGAAGTCCTCTGGTGCGTGCCTGTCTCCAGGCCGCCTCAGCCAGATGCGCCTTGCAAAGAAGGAAGTCTGCATTCTTCCTCAGTGGCCCTTCAGTTCTAAGAGTCTTCTGGGAACCAGACCTAAATCCCATTTTCTGAGAGCCGAACCTTTTGTTGCTGTTTTAATTTTCACATCCCCCTACCTCCACCCCAATCTTTCCTTCTCTGGCTGCCTCATTCCGGCCCGCCCAGCTCAGGCCCTCCTCCTCTCACCAAAGCTAAACGTGTCCACGGGTCGGGGGGCGAGGGGCACATCTGAGTATAAATGGACTCGAGTTTCCAACCTGCCATGGGCACATTTCCCTTTGAGCCTCAGTTTCCTCATCTGTTCAGTGGAGGAAGAGATTCGGCTGAGGCCCCTTCCACAGTGAGTCTGTTCTGGTTTAGGGGAGAGGCTGAGATTCCTACAGAATGAGGCCAGAAGGACCGTAGCCAGGGTCCTCTTGCCCTTTCTCCACCCTGAAGGCCTTTCCTCTTTTCTGTTTTCTCCCTCTCCTCCTCCCTTTCTGTTGCCTTTCTCTCCCCCCTCTCCATTCTCGCTGCATCATTTCCAGCCCAACAGGAGGAGGCCAATCCCAGTGGATGGTGCCTAGGCCCTGCCTCTCAGTGGGCCACATGCAGCTCTGTGACCTTGGACCTTGACTCTTACTCTCTGATCCTCATTCTCCTCATTTTAAAGCAGGGGCCAGAATACAACTAGCGAATGTCAGGAAGATTAGATGACAAGACCTTTTATTTGTGACAGTCTACTATGTTCCAGGCCCTTTTCTGGAACCACAGAGGCCCTGCCCCAGGGACAGCAACAGAGACAACCAATGGTGGGCACTCCTAAGAATTTTCTCTTTCCTCCATTCCTGTCCCAGCTCCACCGTGTGCCCCAGCTAGCCCTGACCCCTCTGGAGCTCAGTTCTCTTGTCTATAACAAAGAGACATTCTTGTCTGCACTCTTGCCTTCTGAGTGCAGGTAAGGAGGGACCGTTGAAAGTTCCAGGAATTGAGGAGTTAGTTGGTGAGGAGGAGTTGGAAGGCTCCCTTTCCCTGGTGACTGTCTGTCTCTCTCTCTCTCTCTGCCCCTACTCCACAGCTCTCTGTGGCTAACAAGGCCCCCGGGACTGAGGGGCAGCAGCAGGCCCATGGCGAGAAGAAGGAGTCTCCAGCAGTGCCCTCAGCCCCACCCTCCTATGAGGAGGCCACCTCTGGGGAGGGGATGAAGGCAGGGGCCTTCCCCCCAGCTCCCACGGCAGTGCCCCTCCACCCAAGCTGGGCCTATGTGGACCCTAGTAAGTCTCTCAGCTCCTGGAACCTGGAGCATCATGGTGGGGGTGGGGGTGTGGACCCAGAGGGAAAACCTGAGTGGGAGGAAGCTGCCTAGAAAGAGGTGCACTGTGTGGTTGTTGTATGAAGCTGTGTTGTTAGAGGCTTAGGATTTGGAGGACTGTTCTGAGGGTAGGTCAGAGATGACTCCATGAAAAGGGAGAGAGATATAATGTCTGCATCAGGGTGCTCCCCATAGAGAAGAGGGCATTTTTTTTCTTTTTTCTTTCTTTCTTTTTTTTTTGAGACGGAGTTTCACTCTTGTTACCTAGGCTGGAGTGCAATGGCATGATCTCGGCTCACCGCAATATCCGTCTCCTGGGTTCAGGCAATTCTCCTGCCTCAGCCTCCTGAGTAGCTGGGATTACAGGCACGCGCCACCATGCCCAGCTAATGTTTTGTATTTTTTTTTAGTAGAGACGGGGTTTCACCATGTTGACCAGGATGGTCTCGATCTCTTGACCTCGTGATCCACCCGCCTCAGCTTCCCAAAGTGCTGGGATTACAGGCGTGAGCCACCGCGCCCGGCCTTTTTTTTTTTTTTTTTTTTTTTGAGATGGAGTCTCACTCTGTCGCCCAGGCTGTAGTACAGTGGTGCGATCTTGGCTCACTGCAATCTCTGCCACCCGGCTTCAAGTGATTCTCCTGCCTCAGCCTCCCTAGTAACTGGGATTATAGGCACCTGCCACTGTGCCTGGCTAATGTTTGTAGTTTTTAGTAGAGATGGATTTCACCATCTTGGCCAGGCTGGTCTTGAACTCCTGAGCTCGTGATCCACCAACTTCGGCCTTCCAAAGTACTGGGATTACAGGCATCAACCACTGCATCCGGCAGAGGGCGTTTTTTTCAAGTCACCATGCTAGAGCAAATGGAGGGGACAGATGAGGGAGAAAGGCTGGCGGCTAGTCAGGAAAGTCCCTCCTAGAAGAAAGAGATGCAGCGAAGGAGGGGTATATGAGGCAGCCACTGACCACAGCCTTCACTGGGCCTGGCCCCTGTGAGTGCGGGTGCAGTGTTTGTGAATTAACTCATCTGAAACCTCAGTGGGGACAGGTCCCCATGGAGGCCCCAGGGCTGCTGGGGGATATGGGTCTGGGGACCCACCTCACCGATCACTGTCCTCATCTCTGTTTCCTTCCCTGAGTCTGTGCTGGGGCAGGAGGGCATGATGCAGGAAGGGAGTGTGGGTGCCAGCCTGAGTGTCCCCCACACCAGGCTTAATTCACAGGCACACTCACCCAGGTGGATGCCAGCTTCCGGCAGACCGAGAATCCCAGCGGGTGGGAGCTGCTCTGTTGGGTCGAGCAGCCTGTGGGAGCTTTACCTCAGGGCCAGGAACATACAGCTTCCCAAAAGCTCTGAGGGTACCCTCCTCGGCCCCTTCAGCCTCCCTCAGCAGCCCCTCCCCTCCCCCACTTTATCACCCCTACCCCCAGCAGAATTCTAGAAGGGATCCCAGAGACAATGCCCCAGACAGAGCCTCTGCTCATAGGGAGTAGCCGCCATGGTCCACACCTCCCACTACAAACCCCCTGGGCGCAGACCCCTGAAGACTCACCCCACAGTGACATACTGGAGGGTCAATGAAGGTCTGGTGTTTGTGGGGGTCCTCCTTCCTGCCCTATACACCCACGGGCCCGCTTTCCTTCTCTTTTTCCCTCTGTGGTCTGGCCACTTGGCCTTTGGCAGGGGATATAGACAGGACACAAGGGAGAAGTGAAAGAACAAGAGGGCGAAGGCCTCCAGGCCTCAGCTTTGCAGTGAGTCTAGCTCTCTCCCATTCTTCCTTTCCCATATCCTGGTTGCTAGGACTTCTGCTTTAAGGAATGTTTTCCAGGGAACTGTGGAGGCAGGAAGGCAGCTGTGACAGACATTTACAAAGTGTGTGCCAGGCACAGGGTCCGCGTCTGAGTTTGTTTTGGAGGATGCGTTGATTTGCAAGATCTGCTGGGATCTCTGTCCTCAGAGAGCTGATTGTATAGACAAGTAATTGAACAACTACCACACAGTGAAGCAAATCAGTGACAGATGTTTGGGCACCTTACCCAACCCACCTGACAGTCAGGGAAGGCCTCCTGGAAGAAGGGTATCCACACTGAGTCCCAAAGGATGGGCATGAGTTAGCCTGGTGAAGAGGCAAGAAAATGAGTGTTTAAGGCTGAAGGAATAGAATGTGCAGGGGCCCAGAGGCAAGAGAACACATGGTCGAAAAAATATACTCAGGTTGAGAAAAAGGTCGGGGAGGAATGTATAGGGGGCTGGAGGGCGCTGCTCGGGGAGGCTGTGGAGGCTTTGTTAAGAAACTTGAACTTGCCTGGCGTGGTGGCTCACTCCTGTAATCCAAGCACTTTGGAGGCTAAGGCGGGCGGATCACCTGAGGTCGGGAGTTCAAGACCAGCCTGACCAACATGGTGAAACCCGGTCTTTAAAAAAAAAAAGAAAGAAACTTGAACTTGAGTGAAGGGCAGTGGGGAGCCATTGAAGAGCTCAAAGCAAGGCAATGCCATGGTCAGCTTTGAAAGACCAAGACAGAGGCTATTGCTAGGGGCAAAGGAGATCATGGACACCTAGTGGGGACAGTGGAGGGGACAGAATGAACATACTGGAAGACTTGGAAATGGCCCTGATGAAGGGCACAGGGAGAGGGTGAGGCAGGGTAGTTCCCACCAGAGAACATAGACTTTTATTTCTTTTTTCTTTTTTTTCTTTTTTTGGTAGGCTTTGATTTCACAGAGCATAGGCTTCCATTTTTATCTCATTCGGTCCCCAGGAGGTGGGTATCACTAACCAGTATCAGAAGAGGCTCAGGGAAGGCCAGTAACTTTATCAGGGTCACACAACTAGTCAGTTCTAGGGGAGGGATCCGCCCCAGCTCTGTTTAACTATGGTGTCCATGCTCTTCTGAAAGCCTGGGTTCTGGGCTAGGCCTGGAACCATCATCCCCACCCCTACTTCTTGCCCTGGTCTTAGCTTTATTTCCCCTCCAATCCCTGCCCCCCTGCAGCCCTGGTTTCCAGCTGGAGCCCCAGCAGGCCCACCACAGCCAACCAGTCCCCAACTCCCAGCCTAAGGGCCTCAGCGTAAGCCAGGGTCAGGGCTGGGCACGGTGGCTCACGCCTGTAATCCCAGCACTTTGGGAGGCCAAGGCAGGTGGATTGCTTGAGCCCAGGAGTTGGAGACCAGCCTGGACAACATGATGAAACCCCATCCCTACTAAAAATACAAAATAAAAAAAAATTAGCCAGGCATGGTGGTGTGCACATGTAGTCCCAGCTACTTGGGAGGCTGAGATGGGAGGATTGCCTGAGCCCATGGAAGTAAAGGCTGCAGTGTGAGGTGTGATCATGCCACTGCACTCTAGCCTGGGTGACAGGAGTGAGACCTTGTCTCAAAAAAAAAAAAGAAAAGAAAAGAAAAGAATGAGCCAGGGTCAGGATCTTTGCTGCTGGGTGGCCCAGAGAGAGTGGCTGTCCCCCTGTGATCCTTGACGGCAAGGGAGCCAAAATGTCCAAGGAGTAGGGTGAGGGAGGGAGAAGATGGGAGGGCCACATTCACATGGCAGAGCCTAGTTACCAAGAAGCCCCAGCTGGGATGGAGGGAGAGGTAGGGGGTGACAGTTTCTTCCCAGGACCCAGAGCAAGAAAAGTGAGAAGTGATCAGGGAGAGAGATCTGGGGGTTGGGGCTGGGCTGGGCTGGGGCTGGATATTTGGTAATGGGGCTGGAGAGAAAGAGTTCAGGGTCCAGAGGGCCAGGATGACAAAAAGGCAGCTTTGAGTTGGTGTCTGTTGGGGTCAGTAATTCTATGTAGGGGGAACCCTCATGCCCTCCACATGCCACACAGGCAGCAGCTCCAGCTACGACAACGGTTTCCCCACCGGAGACCATGAGCTCTTCACTACTTTCAGCTGGGACGACCAGAAAGTTCGTCGAGTCTTCATCAGAAAAGTAATGCCCCTCCGTTGCCCTCTGGGACTGGGAGGCTCAGTGGGGGAGCCCCTGGAGTGGACCCTGGCCCAACCCTCTGCCTGCAGAAGCCATCCTTCCCCTCTTCTCTTGTGATCCCAGCTGACAACTGGGATTTGCTTCCTTAGGAATTGCTTCCTCAGATGTCACTCCAGTGCCCCCTGCTACACCTAAATGCACTGTCCCCTCTTCTCCCAATGCTGGGGAGTGCACTGGGCTCAGCAGCATCATTGCTTTCCTTTCACCTTGCCCTGGGTTCACTCCAGTGACTCCCAAAAAGAAGGGTGGAGTGTACAGGATGGGGACCTGGAGAGGTGATTGAGTTGCGGGGGGGGCTGACAGGTCTCTGACAGAACTCCCCAAGCTGAATAGAATCCCCTCCCACTCCCAGGTCTACACCATCCTGCTGATCCAGCTGCTGGTGACCTTGGCTGTTGTGGCTCTCTTTACCTTCTGGTGAGTTGGCAGCATAGGCCAGCACCTTCCAGGCATGTCCATGGCCAGGCCTGGGGCCGGGGAACCCATGATCAGATTCCTACTGGAATGTGGCCTAGAGAGATGCCTGTGGGGCGGTGGGCCTCCTCCTACTGGGAAAGAGCCTTAGAGAGTGCCATGGGCGAGGGGTCCTCTGTCCAGTGTGGGGAGGACCCAGGGTACCTTCTGGGTGTCTGTGCAGCAGTCCTTCTGCTTCGATCCACTAGCTGTGCGCCCAGGCACCTGCGGGTCCCAGCCGAGGACTGTGGGCTGGGACTCCCCGAGCCACCAGGGCCTGCATTCCTTACTTCGGCTTCCTCTGTGGGACAGATGCAGATGTTGAACGAGAAATGGAGACCTGGGGTACATTCTGACTCTCTCTCCCTCTCTCTCTTCTCTGCAGTGACCCTGTCAAGGACTATGTCCAGGCCAACCCAGGCTGGTACTGGGCATCCTAGTGAGTATACCCCATTCCCCTTTCAGAGAAGGCTTAGTGGCCAGAAGAGGGAATCTCTGTCTCTTTTTTTTTTTTTTTTTGAGATGGAGTCTCCCTCTTTTGCCAGCCTGGAGTGCAGTGGCACAATCTCAGCTCACTGCAACCTCGGCCTCCCAGGTTCAAGCAGTTCTCCTGCCTCAACCTCCCGAGTAGCTGGGACTGCAGGCGCCCGACACCACGCCTGGCTAATTTATGTATTTTTAGTAGAGACAGGGTTTTGCCATGTTGGTCAGAATGGTCTATATCTCAGGCCTGGCCATGGCCACCTGACCTCGTGATCTACCCACCTCGGCCTCCCAAAGTGCTGGGATTACAGGTGTGAGCCACCGCACCGACCTCTGTGTCTTTCTTGGCCAAATCTGAGCCCGTAGCTTCTCCCAGCACCATAGGGACTGTTGTCACAGATTCCCTCCAACCCTGCCCCATTCTGCCGGCTCCAGAGCATGGCCAGAAGGACCTTTCTAAGGTGTTAAATCTGATGGAGCACAGAGGCGATGGGGGTAGGTCCTGCTGCCTGCACAAATTGGGAAGGTTGGGCTGGGGCTGTAGCTGGAGAGACCCAGACCTCGGTCCTAAGAGGAAGTGGGACTGGAACAATTTGGCCTACACTAATGATAATGTTGCTACTCTTATTAATGTTGTTATTAATGCTTATGAAATATTAATCATAATAGCTACCACTTAAAGAGTGCTTAATAAGGTCTGGGCATTGTTTTGTGTGCTTGACGTCAAGTACAGTATTGCGTTCCGGTCCTCACATGTACTGGGTATGATTACTTTAGAAAATTAAAGTTCAGAGAAATGAGGAATTCGCCCAGAGTCACACAGCTAGTCAGTGGCAGAACTGGATTCAGACCCAGATTCAGGTTAAGGCTTGTGTTCTTAATCCATCCACTTGGCAGGCTCCCTGCAGCCCTCGAGCCACTTGGCTCCTGCTTGTCCTATATCCTTTGAGGAATCTGGCCAGTAACTTGGGAGAGGAGGTTTGAAGGTGTAGGTGATTCTGATCCTCCTTTCTGGGTAATTAAGGGGTCATCCTGGATATCTCCAGGCCAGAACCATCCTGGGGCTCAGAGCAGAACTGCTCTTGCACTCACCGTGAGCCCAGCCCTGTACCAGGGCTGCAGGAGCAGAGGCCTCTGCAGGGGAAGTTATTGGGTGGCCCAAGGCAGCATGAACAGATGCAGCGTTTGGAGAGGGGAGGAGGGAAGGAGTGAGCCCGTATACCAGCACACACAGCCCTCATCAGGGGTGCCCCTCAAAGGATGGGCCATGAAGACTGGAGACGGCGTTCCCAGGAGAGAAGTGGCTTAAGCAAAAGCGTGGGGCGAGAATGCACATGGTACGTTTGGTAAACTGGGACTTCTCTGGCAGAGGGCTGGAAGGCTCCATGCAGGGGAATTCCGAGGCATCCTGGAGAGCAGTGGGGTCTTGTGGAGTTGAGGTTCTGACTGCCTGGCCAAGGAGCTTACACACTGTGTGTGTTCCAAGTCTGTTCCTGGATGGGACTCTGGTGGGGAGATGGGCTCAGCCCAGAGCCCCCTGGACCATGCCGAGCCCAGAGCAGCCTCAAAGATGGGCCTAGAGTTCACACGGGGCCCACCAGAGGCTGATGGTAAGGACCTTCACCTGGCCTCTGGGGGTTCCAGAGTCATTCCTAGGGCAGAGGATGGAGGAGGGCCTGTCTGCAGGCAGGCGGGGAGGCATGTGTCTTGGGGAACTGGGAGGTGCTGTACAGTAGAGCTAATGAGGCCCCAGAGACTACCACCTAGGCCAGCCCATGTGGCAGGTTGGCATGGCTTCTGGTGCGTCAGCACTGCCTGGCAGCCTTAGGCCCCTGAGAACTTGGGAATGGATTCTTATGCCCCTCTCTGAGCCTTCTGGGGGAGAGTCTATGGGAGTCTGCCCCTAGCAGGTGGTAGCAGGGAGACAGCCCAGGAATGAGCAGGCTTAGCGGGGCAGAGTCCATTCCATTGGGTGGGATGGGGGTATTGGAGTGCGAGAATCTGACCTCTGAATGGTGAGATTTGGAGTCCCTCTTCTTCAACATCTCTGGGCAGAAAACAGAGATGCTCTTTCTGGCTTCTACCAGGGTGGGTGCTGGCAGAAGTGGGAGGTGGACGTGGACTGGGTGCTTTCCATAGGGTGCCCAAAGCATGAAAGGTGCTTGGGAGTTTTACCAATGGGATGCTGCCCTTTTCCTCCAAAAAACCTGCCTGAGTCCTGCCCTGCCCTGCCCTGCCCCCTCCCCATCCCTCAGCTCTCTCCATCCTACCCCCAGAGTCAGCCTTGTGTCTGAGTCCTGGTGGGTCTCACCTCCTGCAACACATCATGTGCTCCCCAAGGACTCCCTCCTGGTCTCTTCCTTTTGGAATAACAGTAGGAGAATTGAGAATCAGGCAGCTCTCTTTCTGTAAGGAGGGCACCGTGCTAAGCACTTTATGTGTATTTTTCGTTTGATCTTTCAGTAGCCCAACCAGGCAGACACGACTATTATACTCATTTTACAGATGAGGAAAGTGAGGCTCAAAGCAGTGTAACCAGGGAAGAAACTCAGGTCTTTCTGATGGTGGAACTTACCCTCTGTGCTCTGCTGCCTCCTTTGTCTTAGAGCAGGACAAGCAGGGGAAGGCATTGGGTTTGGATCCTGGCCTGCGCCTGAGCCTCATTTCCCTGTCCTGACATTCTGTAAACAGACTGTGGTTCCTGCCCAGGCCCTGGGGCTGCGGCTCTGATGCATAAATCAGTGGTTCTCTCTCTCTCTCTCTCCCTCTCACTTCTTAAGTGACTCATTGCCTGGCCCCTGGGCTGCCGGCCTCCCCATCCCCAACTCACAGCCCAGCTTTTTCAACACCCTAGACGCCTCCCTCCATCGCTTCTCACTTTATTGTCTGATTGCGCCCACTGAGCTACTGTGCCTGCCTACGGTGGTAGAAGGCTGGTGGGCCAGGGGAAACCCAGGCAGAGGAGGAAAAGTGTGAGACCAGAAATGGGTGGAGGTGGGTCAGAGCCTTTCCAGGAAGCTGTCCATCAGCCAACTTCTAATTATCATAACTCCCGTGGGGAGTCCTTCTACTGTGCCAGGCCTACACAAAGCGCTTGAACTGTGTTGTCTCATCAGTACTTCCAACAGCCCAGTGAGTTGGTACCAGTGTTTCTGTTTTGCAAAGGTGGAAACTGGGTCTTGGCCAAGGTCACACAACAGTAGTGGCAGAGCTGGGATGTGAATGCGGGGTGTCAGGCTCCCAATCTGCACCATAATCCTCGGGTCTTTGGCCCTTCTGCCCGTCCTCTGGACCCCTTGTCTTGAAAGTTGAAGAGCTATGAACCAGAGAGAAAAGGAGGCTGGGCTCTTGCCCTCAGGAAGCTTCCAGTCTGGCTGGGGAGATAGGACCCACACCCACATGGACACGGGTATTATTATTAGATTATTGCTGAAGTGGCTGCCCAATGACTCAACCGAGACTGAAAGAGAGCAGGTGCTGAGTGTTTCCTAAGTCTGGCAGGATGGCTCTGCCGTCCCGCATGGAGCAGGATGTTCAGCAGCCTCTGGCACCAGCTACCAGAAGAGCCTTCCGGCCACTGCGACAACAGTTTCTCATTATTTGAAAACCACTGAAGACCAGGAAAGGGTTAACTTGAGGGGGTCCTACTCACCGAATCCAATATGCTTGTCTCAATTACATCTCTTGTTTTGTTTTTTGGGTTTGTTTTTTGTTTTTTTGAGACGGAGTCTCGCTCTGTCACCTAAGCTGGAATGCAGTGGTGTGATTTTGGCTCACTGCAACCTCTGCCTCCCAGGTTCAAGCGGTTCTCCTGCCTCAGCCTCCCAAGTACCTGGGATTACACGTGCACACCACCACCCCCAGCTAACTTTTGTATTCTTAGTAGAGGCAGAGTTTCATCATATTGGCCAAGCTGGTCTCAAACTCCTGACCTTGTGATTTACCCGCCTTGGCCCCCCAAAGTGGTGGGATGACAGGCGTGAGCCACTTTTTTTGCATTTCATCCAGAAATATTTGAAGAGCTCCTACCAGGCACCAAGCTCTGGGTCAGATGGTAGGAATAGAAAATTAATAAGTTGCAGGCTGGCCCCCTAGATGCTATACCTGGGTGGGAAGTGACAGGAGCTGGTCTGAAGGGTGCAGGGGCTCAGGCTTTGGTTGAGGCATGCCTGTGGTGCACAGGGATTGGCCCTCTCTAACCCAGGCCTCAGACATCCTTGCCAGTCAGTCCTTTCCAGCAGGAGCAGAGTGTGGCAGGCATGTTTCCAGGGAGCAAAGCAGGTTGTGATGAGAAGGGTGGAGTGGAGGGGCAGAGTGCGGTGACAGAAGGGCTGGAGGGCAAGTGGGAGTGCATTTTCTGATTGCTCAGGCAGGGCATTACCAGGTCTTTGGGAATTTTATACAGGGAAGTCACATGATTGGATTTGCCGGCAGCGTGGAGGGCAGAAGGCAGGTGGGCTCCTGCAAGGGTCCGAGCCAGAGAGAGAGAGGTGCCCTGACCTCAAAGCGTGGTAGTGGGGATGGAAGAAAGAGGGCAGCTTTGAGAACTGCCTGGGTGGGAAGATCAGCAAGTCCAGGTGATTAATTGGGCATAGCAGGGTGAGAGTTAAGGATGATGCTGAGGTCTCTGATTGGGTGACTTGGAGGGTACATGACGTCCTCTGCAGGTGAGAAAGCAGAAGATGGAGCAGGGGAGACAGGGAAGCTCCCCTCTAACCTCTTGAGCATTACTTGTGTCTGAATAGTCATGTCTGCCCAGTAGGCAGTTGGAAACTCGAGTCCAGGGTTGAGAAGGAAAATATAGATCAGAAATATGGGTGAGCAAGTCATATAAATGAGTGAGCCCACCTAGGGAGAGCATGGGGCAAGAGCTTGAGAGAACCCCACATTGAGGGAACCAGGCAGACTGAGAGAGACCCTGGAGGGACCAGGGAGTGGTGAGGGAGGTAGGAGGGACCCAGGGGTCATGTGGAACCAGGGAAACAATGATAGTGACCAGATGCTGAGAAGCCAGGCAAGGTAAGGACTGACAAGTATCCACTGCACTCAATAAGGTCTCAGTGATGTGGCGAAGCCAGCTCCCATTGAGTAGTGCTGAGGCTGTGTGTGTTGGGTGGGGAAGATGGAGGAGGGGCACGGTGAATAGAGACCACTTTTTCAAGAAGCCTGGCTGCAGGAGAGGATAGAGTGGCCGTAGCTGGAGCAGGGAAGGTGTTGATTGAAGATGGAAAACAGCTGAGGAGGTTTGTGTGGGAGGAGAGGTACCAGTGGAAAGGTTTAAGTAATGGAGATCTCCCGGCAATTAAGAGGGTGGGAGGGTTGGCCTGGGATGGGAGGAGGCACAGGAGGGCAAGTAGCACCACATGATATCTGCAGGTGGCAGGCAGGGAGCCAAGGGAGCCCACTTCATCTCCAGTCTTTCTGGTGCACCTGAGGCAGACTGTGCAGGAAGAGTGAGGGGGCCTGAGAGGTTTGTGGATGGAGGAGGAAGCTTGAAATTGTGGGTGATGGGTGAGAGAACCAAGAAAGGAGATGGGAAAGCACAGCAATGCTATGTTAAAGGCCCATTGGGGGTTGGAAACTATGCATTGGTGGCATCGCTAACCTAGGTAGGCATGGGCAAGCCCCACCCTTGGGTCTCCAGCCATCATCTCCCACCTCCTGGACTGGCCTCTGCCTCCACTACTCAGAAAATTCTCAATCCTCCATCTCTAGCTCTGGATTGCTCCCGGGCAGAGATTGCACCTCCCACTAGACATGGCCTCCTGATCCAAAACTTCGTCCAACAGGTGCCACTTCCTGCTTGTGCTAGGGGCTGGCAGGACAGACAAAGGCCCTACCCTTGCTGAGTTTACAATCTAGTAGGCTAGATCAACAGTAAGGTAACTAACAAGATCACCCCAGGTAATGATGAAGCCCAAGAAGGGCCCCAATGAGGCAGTGCATGCAGTGGCTATGTGCAGGGACTCTGGAGCCAGAATGCCTGGGTTCTTATCCTGCTTCTGCAGCGTGGTAGCTAGATGGCCTGGGACAAGCAGCCTGACCTCCCCGTGTCTCAGCTGCAAAGATATGAGGATTACATTTGTTAATATTCATAAAACACTTAAAACTGCCTGGCACATGGGAAATGCTGTACATGGGCCTTTTTTTTTCTTTTTGAGCGGAGTTTTGCTCTTGTTGCCCAGGCTGGAGTGCAATGGTGGGGTCTCAGCTCACCGCAACCTCTGCCTCCTGGGTTCAAGCAATTCTGCCTCAGCCTCCAGAGTAGCTGCAATTATAGGCATGCGCCACCATGCCCAGTTCATTTTTTTTTTTTTTTTTTTTTTTTTTTTTTTTGATGGGGTTTTTCCCTTTTGGTCAGGCTGGTCTCAAACTCCCAAACCCAGGTGATCCACCTCCCTCGGCCTCCCAAAGTGCTGGGATTACAAGCATAAGCCACTGCACCCAGCCTATATGGGCTTTTAAAATAACAAGATAGGCTGAGCGCAGTGGCTCACACCTGTAATCCCAGCACTTTGGGAGGCTGAGGCGAGTGGATCACCTGAGGTCAGGAGTTCGAGCCTGGCCAACATGGTGAAACCCTGTCTTAAAAAATAAAATAAAATAACAAGGTAGTGTCTGGGGAGGCCATTTTGGACTGGGTGGTCAGGAACAGCTGTCTCATGTGACCCAAGATTCCTTGTTTTTAGAAGCAGGCTTGTCCCATCCTCCTGCTCTCTTTTGGAACTGGATTGCCACCCTGCCCACTGCCAGGTTCTGGGATGACCCTGTCCCTTCCTGCCCGGCTGCTCTGTGGGCAGGGGGTGGCAGAGAGTGGCATAAGCAGGGGGTCTGGGGGAAGGGCCACAGGAGGGGCTGGCTGACTCACCCATCTGTCCGTCTTTCACAGTGCTGTGTTCTTTGCAACCTACCTGACCCTGGCTTGCTGTTCTGGACCCAGGTACGATAATGGCTTGAGGAGGAACTTGTGGGAATATGAGCAGGATCATGAAAGTTCTGGCCCTAGCGCTGCCTGCCACCAGTGAGGTGCGCATCCCTGAGAGGGCCCCATCCCTCTCTGGGCCTCTGTCGAGCAGGCCAGCCCCTCCCTCCTTTACTTGGTACCTCTGAGGTAGGGAGAAGGGGGTTGGAGAGGGGGCACATGGGGATGTAGCTGGAGGAAGAGGCTCTGAAGAATGTGGAGGGGGTTGGTCAGAGACCCTCCCTGTAGTGGTGACACAGCCTGCACCCACTGCTCCCCCACACTCTCCCCTGAACTCTGTGGCTTGCCTTGCAGGAGGCATTTCCCCTGGAACCTGATTCTCTTGACCGTCTTTGTAAGTGATCTGGGGTGTGCTGAGGACAGATGCTGAATGGGGATGGAGGAAGGAGGGAAGCAGGGTGGATTGAGGACCAGGAAGTCTGGACTGGGAATGTCCAATGTGAGATCTCTGCGGGGGCAGGGGTGTTTTCACCCCACTTCTTCCACAAACACAGTCCACCTTCTCCTTCCAAATGGGCTTAATCTGGCCCTGCTCCCTATCCACTGTCTTTTTTCATTGTGACTTCTTAAAGAGGGTTATTTGAGGCATCCTAGAGCTACGGTAATGAAGAAGGGGGGGGGTCGTAGAAGCGGGGAGCGTGGCTGCAGAAGAAAGGAAGGGAAAGCTGGTACAGACCCTGAAGCTGGCAGTGGGGACACTCCTTAGCCAGGCCTGACTCCTGAAAGTCAGTGTTTGTGGGGGTGATGGAGACAGAGTTAAGGGGTACCTGCAAGGGGCGGAGACTTGGGCTGGATCTTAAGGGTGCCTGGGACCCCACAGTCTGAGTTTGGAGCATTCCTTCACCCTGCTTCTCCTTTCAGACCCTGTCCATGGCCTACCTCACTGGGATGCTGTCCAGGTAAAGGGAGCAGGTGGAAGGAGAGGAGGACCGTAGGCCAGGCTTGGAGCCAGGCACCGGCCACACCCGAGAGGAGCTGCCCCCACACACCGTCCTTCCTGGGAGCATGTGGATGGGGCTGGAGGCTTTGGCCTAGAGTCCTCTCTTTGAGCATTCAGCTAAACAGTGACCCCAAGACCTGGCCTGGTGGATGGGGGGGTGGGGAGCAAGGTGCCCGCTCCCAAACTGTAGCTTGCAAGCCCCCAGACTCAGGACCTGCGGTTACTTGTAAACCACCTCCAGGCCCAGCACGACCCCTCCCCACTCCTACTCCCACCTCATCAAGATCCTTCTAACTTGATTTTGAGTCTAAACCTGTTGGGAGGCGCGGGGCCCAGAAGAAGGGCTGGAGAGGCAGACAGAGGGACCTGTGGAAAGGGCACCAGGTTGGGGCCACGGGTCCTGAGACCAGGTCCTCGCAGAAGGTGGGGGGCTCCTAGGAGGGTGGGGGAGACCAGATGCCCCACCCAGGAGCTGACCCCTCGGCCTGACGGTCCTCAGCTACTACAACACCACCTCTGTGCTGCTGTGCCTGGGCATCACGGCCCTCGTCTGCCTCTCAGTCACCGTCTTCAGCTTCCAGACCAAGGTCAGCTCTGGGGCCTGCGGGCAGGGACCCCGGCCTGAGGCTGAGCGGGGGAAGGCAGGTGGGATGAGGGGCTCAGAGCTCAGACCCAGGGCTGGGGGGAGAAGTAAAGCGGAGTGAGTTGGGTCTGGGGAGGACATCTGCTGAGGGGGAGAAGGGGAAGGAATGCCAGGTTCTTGGAGTGAGCACAAGACTGCGGCCTGCTGTGTGGGCTCAGCCTGTAGTTGGGGCCCCAGGAAGGCCAGGCCGCTCGGGCAGCTGACCCCTTCCTGTCCCCGCAGTTCGACTTCACCTCCTGCCAGGGCGTACTCTTTGTGCTGCTCATGACTCTTTTCTTCAGCGGACTCATCCTGGCCATCCTCCTACCCTTCCAATATGTGAGTCTGTGGGTCCTGCGGCAGGCCCCACGGGGAGGGAGGGGCCCCACTGGCCCAAGGTGCCGTTCCCTCCCCTGCCCCCAGGGAAGGCCAGGAGTCAAGGCCCCACAGCCTGCCATCCTTCGCCCCCGCCCCCCCGCCCCACCCCAGCACCTGCCCCGGGCATGCTGGCAGTGTAAGCAAACAAGGAGGCTTTTCTTGGCAGGCCTGGCTCCACAAGCCACATCCGGCTTCACTTTTCCCATCCTCCTCTGTGGGGTGGAGGTGAGGCCGAGGGTAGGGCGTGGGGCATTTAAACCCTGGGCAGGGAAGGGAGCACTGGGGCTCCATGAGGCCCACCAGACCCAGAGGGGCCTTGAGGAAGGGTCTTCTGGGAGCTCCTGGGGAATTAGCCAAGTCCAAAGAGGCAGAATCTAGCTGGCCATGCAGGCGGCAGGTGGGGCAGTGGGGCTTGGAGCATACCCTCATCCTTAGAGCATCCACCAGCTGGTAGCCAAATCTCCACTCTTTTAGAAGCATCCATCCTGCCCTGGGGAATCCAACTGAGACTCTGCAGGCTCCCAGGTCCCTGCATGTGGAGAAGGGGCAGATTGGGGGCATCACAGGAAGCCCTTGAGGTCTGAGTCCTGGGAACCCAAGAGATGAGCTGTTGGACTGCTGGGGGCCCAGTGCTTATCCCCCTCACCCCCACAGCCACACATGGTACATGGTCCCCCACTGCCCTTTTCTAGCAGAGCTGGGAGCAGTAGTCCTCACTCCCCCTCCCTACCTCCATCCTGCCCAGCCCCAGCCTCCGGGAACTTGGCGTCCCGTCCAGGACATCAGGATCGGTGCTGGCATTTCCTTGGCTCTTCCAGGATCCTGTTGACGAAGGGAGGGCCGGAGCTGGCCTGGGGGCCCTCTGTGTATCTAGGATGGGGAGGAGGGCTACAGGAAGGGGCCACAGAACTTCAAAGAACCCTTTATTGACCAGGTCTGCTTGCTGGGATGCCTTTGTTTCCGAGTCTTCTGGAGGAAGGCCCCATGGAGGGCCTTAGTGAGGCCCCTCCTGCAGAGTTTCCCCCATAGCTGGCTGCCCCAGACCTGGAGGGAGACTGGGGCGCAGAGGGCCGGGGTGTGCTGTTCCAGCCTGTGCAGGCGAGTCCACCACACACAGCTGGCAGACTCTAGATGCCCCCACAGACACCCCTGAGGTCAAGTCTTTGTCCCTTTATACCTGAGTTCCTTGCCCCCAAAGCAGAGCCCAAGAGTGCCCTGACACAGGAAAGACAGACCCTTTGTGGGACAGGGATAAGCACACACTGGGAGGCAGGAGCAGCCTCAAGCAGTCCCAGGCTAGAGCGGGAACAGGGCCCACCAAGAGTCATCTTCATCTGCCCTGAGCCCGGGGCTGTGTGCTGTGGGAAAAATGATGGGTGAGATGGGGGGTGGATGGGTGACGGAGGCGGGGGAGTTCTCCCACCAGTCCCACCAGCATGGCTCTTATTCCAGGACTCCCTTCACCCACTCTGTCACACAGAGAATCAGGGTCAGTCCTGGGTCTCCTTAGGGAGCGCTGAGCAGGGCTACCCCATGTCCTCCATTCTCCAGACTGAGCCCTCCTCTGCGCCCCTCTGACTGCTGCCCCTTCTTACCATCCCTAAGCCCATTTTTCCTCTGCCGCAGGTGCCCTGGCTCCACGCAGTATACGCATCGCTGGGAGCGGGTGTGTTTACATTGGTGAGTGTGGCCTGGCTCCTTGGCAGCCGCCTCCCCAGCATCCTGACCCCAGTCCCCTTCTCCTCCCATCTTCCCCACAGTCCTTCTCCCTGGATCCTCAGGAGCCTGAGGGTGGAGCTAGGCTCAGTGCTGCATTTGTTCGGGGAATTCTGCCTGGTCTCCAGGACAGACCAGCTGACCTGGGCAGAAGGGAAGGAAGATTGTAACAGCAGGATGGAAGCTGTAGACAGAAGCAGAACTGGGAAGAGTCCCTTCCTCCAGGGGAGGGTCAGCGCTGCTTGTGGGGGTGGGGGCATGGGGGCGTCCTGGCTATGTGGACCAAGTTCGTAGTTACCCTCCTCGGGGGAATTGGGAAAGGCTTCTTGGAGCTGGGGAGATTCCAAGTACCCCGAGAGAGAGACACTGTTAGATTAAGCTTGCTCTTTGCTGTTCTCATCAAATTGAGAATGTTCATGATGATGATGATGGTTAGGATAACAGCAACAGCTAATATTTATTGAACACTTGCTTCCCCCCAGCCAGCTCTCCATGTGCATTTAATCTTCGTCATATGTCTATAAGATAGGTTCTACCATTAATACATTAAGATGGGGAAACTGAAGCTCAGAGATATCAAATAACATGCCCAAGGTCACACAGCATCCTAGGAAGTGGTAGGGCCAAACTGGGAACCTGGACAGTCTGGTGTGAGTCCCACCTGGGGTCTAAGGCTAAGTGGGGCATGGCTGGAAGCAGATGCCCAGGAGACAAGAAATGATCAGGGACGAAGCCAGGCACAAAGGCTCAGGCCTGTAATCCTAGCACCTTGGGAGGCCAAGGTGGGCAGATCACGAGGTCAGCAGGTCGAGACCATCCTGGCTAACATGGTAAAACCCTGTCTTTACTACAAATACAAAAAATTAGCCAGGCATGGTGGCACGTGACTGTAGTCCCAGCTACTCAGGAGGCTGAGGGGAGAGATTTGCTTGAACCTGGGAGATGGAGGTTGCAGTGAGCCGAGATCACACCACTGCACTCCAGCCTGGGAGACAGAGCAATACCCCATCAAAAAAAAAAAAAAAAGAAAGAAAAAGAAGAAAAAAGAAATGACTAGGAACAGACACCTGCCTGGAGCTGCCCAACACAGGCCTGTTCAGGTGGGCTCCACGAACCCGAATGTGATCCTGTTTCAGGACCCACCCAGGTGGGCAAGCTTGTGTTGGTGACATCCTCTTGGAAAGGCATTCAAGGTCAACATTTATTGACAATGGAAGCAGTGACCAGACTCTCCCCTTCCTTGCTGGAATGTTCAGCTCAATTCCAGTGGCCAGAGTTGCAGCTTAGTCCAGGTTTCAGAGGCTTGTGGGCAACAGGCTGAGGGAGCTGAAATGGGGGGAAAGGGTGGGGTCAGAGCTGTGAGCAGAGGCTTTGGGGGGTTTAGGTAGGGATCAAGCCCGAGTGGGGTGTGTCAGGTTCATTCATGCATCCTTTCCATGGTCTTTATAGAGCACCTACTGTGTGTGATGTGCAGGGTGGCTGCCCAGATACCCGGTCAGCCGGGAGAGCACAGTGCGTGGCGCAGAGTAGCACGCAGTCAGTATTGTAGAATGGATAAACAACCTCCAGGCTTGGAACTGAAGGGCTGGGATCTAGTGAAACACTCAGCCTTCTTCTTACAGATGACAAAACTGAATTCCAGAGAAACAGAATGATTTGTCCATGGTTTCCCGGCAAGATAATGGCTAAATATGGCCTTGAGCAAGACTAAGGTGTCTGCTTAGCGCAGGCCACCTAGGACTTCCCCAGGTTCAGCACGGAAAGCCCCATTTCTTGAGGAGCCCCTAAATCCTGAGCACGCTGGGTAGCTGGTCAACCTAAGACACTAACTTTTCTCGGCTCCACACCAGTGCCCTTCCCTGCAGGCAATACTTCCTAAAGAAAGGCTTCAAAGGATGGGGTGGGGAATTGGACTCGGAGAGAAAGAAGAGGGCCACATAGGGAGAGCTAGCCTGGGCAGCAGTGCTTGGAGGCCCTAGAGGGTGGCATTTGCAGGGAACAGAAGAGAAGTCAAGCCAGGGCAGACGGGCTGGTGATGATGGAGGCAGTGAGCACCCATGGGGTCCAGCCAGGGAGTCTACTTGGCTTCCCGTGGATCAGGTTCCAGTGAGTGTGTGAACTCCCTGAGGAAGCCATGCATGCAAGTAGGGCTGGGTGAACAGTAATCCCTTAAATTTGTTTGATAAGCCCTAGTGTTGTTAGAATAATAACAATAGTCTCCACCCTCCGTTCCACACTTTACGTTTTACAAAGCACTTTCACACCTGTTACCTCACTGAATCTCCACCGCAGTCCAGCCCCCACCGCAGTGCAGCCGGGGGCCGGGGGCAGGCAGTCTTGATGCTGTAAGACTTGCTTTCCATAGCTGAAGCCCTGGGTGTGAAGGGGCTGGCACAGAGTCTTATGGCCAGAAACAGGCAGATTGAGGACCAAGACATAAGCGTCCTGTGCCCAGCCTGGTGCCATTTCCAGTGCCCCTATGGTTCCCTTCAAAGAGGACACCTTCTGTGGTTCTATTGGCCTGGAGTTGGGGAGAGGCTGAAAAGGTCTCTCCAAGACTTTTCCTCTCTCTCTCTCTCTCTGTCTCTCTGTCATCAGTATTGCCCTCTCTATGGAGTAGTCCCATTAGCATAAGCACATGCTGCAATTTCTCCCATCTGAAGAAAACCCGCAAAATACTCTTGACACACATCCCCCTTCACACTCCTGCCCATTCCCTGCTCCCCGTATACAGCGAGGCTCCTTGTAAGAGAACCGACACTCACTCTCTCCAGTGGCTCTCCTCCCTCTCTCCTTCTTCCCTACTCTCCTCGTAATTCTCCCATTCTCTCTCTCTTTTTTTTTTTTTTTTTTTGAGACAAGGTCTCACTCTGTCGTCCAGGTTGGAGTGCAGTGGCACGATCTCCACACTGCAACCTCTTCCTCCTGGGTTCGAGCAATTCTCCTGCCTCAGCTTCCCGAGTAGCGAGGACTACAGGCACATGCTACCACACTCAGTCAAATTTTTTGTGTTTTTAGTAGAGATGGGGTCTTGCCATGTTGGCCAGGCTGGTCTTGAACTCCTGACCGCAGATGATCCTCCTGCCTCAGCCTCCCAAAGTGCTGGGATTATAGATGTGAGCCATGGCGCCTGGCCGTTCTCTTGATCCTCGTAAACACATCTCACCAGGTCACAGGGACCTCCGTGTGGCTGAATCCAGGAACCCAGTCTCAGTCCACATCTTGCTGGACTCCCTGCAGTATTGGACACAACTGTTCCTTTCCTCCCCCGCCCTCCCCAAACCACCTTCCTCCTGTGGTGTCCAGGCCACCACCAGCCCGGGATTCTCTGCAGCCTTCCTGATCCTGCAGCCCTTGGCCTGACTCTTCTCTTCCTACCCTCCTCCCTCAGGGCCTCAGGCAGCCTCAAAACTTTGACTGCCTTGTCTTATGCTGATCACTCTCACATTTACATCTCTAGCCCAGATCTCTCTCTTGAACTCTAGACTAGAATTTCCAGTTCCTAGTGAGGGTCCGTCCGCGTGAGGAAGTCTCACAAGCACCTCAGACTTTACATGTACAAAACCAAGCTCTTGCCCCTTCCCCTGGATGCCTGCTTTTCCCAAAGCCTTGCCCATCTTCCTGTCACTCAGGACAAATATCTTGGTGACACCTTCCACTCCTACCCTCTCCTCACCCCCCACATCACACCCCACATCAATGCTGTGGCCCCGGCTCCTATGCAGAATCTGACCACTTGTCTCTGGCCTCATGGCTACTCCCTGTCCCAGTCCCCGTCGCCTGCAGCTTGGATTGACTATTGCCGTGGCCACCTCCAAACTGCCCCTGCACCCCACATCCATGACAGCACAGCAGCTGGAGTCGTTAGGTCCCCTCCATTCCTCCACTGAGAATCCAGCGATCACCTCCCATAGTCTATAGGTCCTCTCTGACCTCCCCGCTTCCCTCTGCTGTAGCCACACTGGCCTCGTGCTACCTGAGCCTGGCAGGCTCTCTCCAAACCCAAGGCCTCTGCACCTGCCTCGGTCTGTTCTTACGGTCTGCTCACAGCCCTCTCTCCCATCCGTCAGGTGTGCGCAGCTCTGTCCCACCCTCCCCGTCCCTGCTCTGTTTCCCTCTGTAGCACATCTCATCCTGACACACTGTGTATTTTTCTGATCTGTTGCTCACTGTCTCTCCCCCTCCAGCGGAATCCAAGTTCCCTAAGGGCAGGAATTGTAGCCTGGCTTATTCATCACTGCAGCCCCAGTGCCCAGAACAGGGCCTGACACATAGTAGGCAACCAGGAGATGTTTGTGACATGAACGGATGACCGAGGTGTGGCAGAGGGCAGGGCAGGGTCCGCGGAGGTAGACAGAGCCAGGCAGAGAATACACAGGCTGCTGAGTTGAATTCAGCACCGCCTGGCAGTCTTCCGTGAGTCACAGGGGAGGGGTTATCTCATTAAGAGATCAACATGCCAAAAGGCCTTGGTCGGGATCATCCTGCAGATTATAGAAACAACAGTGGAGAGCACGGGGCCAGTCACCCAATCCCCTGCCTGTGTTCATCTGCAGCTCCCCTGGGGCCCATGGGGCAGCGGAATGTTGAGGAGAGCAGCTTCCAGACTCATTCCCCTTCCCTCCTCTCAGTTTCAGGTAGATGAAGGCCCTCAGAGGCCCAGCCCCATAACTAAATCCCCATACCCTCCCGTTAACTCGAACTCAGAAACATGTGCTGACCACATCCTGCCCCTTAGACCTTCGGACTCTGTGGTCCGCTGGTCTCCCCAGCCTGCCCTCTCCCGCCACGCTGCACGCAGGTATTCCTGCCACGTGCGCTGCCTCCAGGAGATTGCGAGAGAGTAGTGAAGAGAAGGGTAGGAGGAGGGCCCAGACCCCCAGGAGGACCCTTCCCCCAACTCCCACCAACCTGAGCTTTGGAAGCACTTGAGAATCCAGTGATTTTCTCTCCTAAAAGCATCA